TAGTGTTTCGGGTTTATAACATAATCCATTCTTATTTATTTTTCAATTTAATTTAGAATTACGTTCATGGAGATGTTAAAGCTTCAAATTTAATGTTAGAAAATAAAACTGGTTCTGATCTCTCTCGTGTTGTACTTATTGATTTTGGACTTGCTAGGAAATTACCTGACGAAATTATTGAAAAAGAAAATAAAAAACAAGGTTTTTTAATTGATAATTAATTGAAAAAATATTTCTTTTTTAGCTCATAACGGGACTCCTTTATTTACTTCTTGTGATGCACATAGGGGTTGTTTGCCTTCATTTAGAGGGGATTTGGAGATTTTAATTCATAATATGCTTTATTGGATTATTGGATCTCTTCCATGGCAGGTAACTTTTTGAAAAATAATAATTGATATTTTAAATAAAGTTTTTAGTGTTGACATTTTTCTTTTCTCTTTTTCCTTCGCGCCTCTTGCATTCTCTTTTCCTCTTTATAAGGCATTGTGAAGAAATTAGAGAGAGTAAAAAAAGCTTCTTTTCCCTCTTTTGCTTATACTCAACCACTCCCAAGTACTGAAACTTTGAATGGGCATAACTCGGCCCAAAGTCATTTTGCAAGAAAATGGATAACACAACACAATAGGAACTCGGGGGTCCTCTATCGAATGGTACCAAAAAGATACAGAATTCCTGTTTACAGTAGTCGATGGTTCCTTTAAGAAAATATTTTTGGGGTGGTTTTTATTTTGATTTTTTGTTATGATAATTATTTACTTCAAAGTTTTAGAGGAATATAAAATTTAAAAATAATTAAGACGGGTTAATTGTTAATTTTGGAATTAAAAAATAATAGAGAAATTTTAAATTGTTTGAATATTTTATACAAATTTATTTTTTTAATTTAAAGGATTATACTGATGACCCGGAGAAAGTATTTCAACAGAAAAAATTATTTATTTCTAATGCAAAAAAGGAAATTTCCAAATTAATCCCCGAAAAGAAAATATCTTCTTCAATAGCCAATTTATATTTAATTTCTTCTAAAATGGCTTTTGGTGATAAAATTGATTTGGAACGGGTAATTAAATTATTTACAATTACAAAAGAAGTAAAGGAAGTTGAAAATAAATAAATTTAAATTTTGGGACTATCATAATATTTTTTCTTTCAATTTCATTCAACGATCTTTATTTTTGATTATTTATTTTAAATATAAAAATTTTTAACTTTTTTAGAATTTTTTTAAACTTTTTTAATTTTCCTTTTTTCCCGGGGGGGGGGGGGGGGGGGCTATAGCCCCCCCAGCTTCCCCTGGCTTTACTCTTGTAATTACTTGAGCATTTTTTTCTATATTGAATATGAACAATAAAATTGTTCTTTTTAACTTATATCATTTTGTAGCAGCCAGGATACAAATTAATTTAAATGTAAAATATTTGTGTAATAAATATGTAAAGATAATCTTTTACAAATATGTAGTACTATATATTATTTTAAAATTTATATAAATTTATTTAAAAAAAGGTAATATTTAAAATTCTAATAAAAGTAAAATTTAAAAAATTCCTTAAATATTTTTTAAAAATATTTAAAATTCCAAACATTTTTTACAAAATTTATTGCTTTAAAATCTGACAAATACCTTTTTCTTTGCCATTTATTTTTATTTTCTTTCCCTTTTTTGGCCATAGGACATTTAATTTCCTTTTTTTATTCTTTAAATTATTATAAAAATATTTTTTGTTGCTTTTTATTCAAAAAGAAAATTATTTTTAGAAAATTTTGAAAATATTTTTCTTTTTGAATTTCGAACTTTACAAAAATGTCTATGGTTACAAAAATCTTTTAATCGTTTTAAATTACTCAACAAAATTATTTTTAATATAATATATGTAAATTTTTATAAAAAATAAATTCTCGTTCTAATATTTAAATAATTTTCCAAAAATTATTTTTAGGATTTTATTTGCCAAGAAAATTTTCCAATACATAAATATACTTATTTTGGAATGTTCTTTTCTTTCGAATTTTTTAAAATAATTTTTTATTTTCCAATATTTAACTTTAAAATTCCAGGTCTACATTCAAAACACAAATCCAATTTATATATTTATTTTATTCCTCCTTTTTTTGTTTGTTGCTGTTTTTTTCCAAGAAAATTTTTCGTTATAAATTTAATTAAAAAAATTTTTTTTTTCATTTTCTAACATTAAATAATTAATTTTATTTTTCCAATATTTTTTAGGAAAAACAAATTTATTAAAAAATAATGTTTCTTAAATAGTAAATACATATTTTAAATTTTTGTTTCAATTTATTTATTAATTTTTGATAATTTAAATTAAAAAAAAACCTAAAAATAAAAAAATAAAGGAATATCTTTTTTATTTTAACAAAAAAAGTTAACTTATCCATTTTTCTAATTCCCAAGAGTGCTATCATCTACAATAAATATTCTTCCAAAAAATATTATATTTTCTAAAAACAAAAATTCTAAAAAGAATATTTGTATATACAGTGCTGGTCAAAAGTATAGCCGCACCTGAAAAAACGGTGTAACTCCGGACTGAGTTAGCCAATTGTTATCAAATTTCGCATAAAAATATTAGATTATATGAGAAACATGATAACATTAAAAGTTTTTAAAATTATTAGAAGGAATTAAAAAAAAATCAAAATTTCCAAAAAATGCCAGAATTTTTACTGGTCAAAAGTATAGCCGCACTTTGGATTTTTATGTTTCTAATTATAGGAAAAATCTACAATAATTTCACATAACATATTTATCGATACTAAGAAAAAATAAAAAAGAACTAGGCCCATATCTCATTTTAACTTCGAGATCTCGATACCTTGAAAATCAACGTTTATCAGGGGTAAGGCTCTTTAAAAAATATTTTCGACCCCTTATGGATTATTTTAAATTTTTATTTTAGGCTTATCTGAAAGCCCTTGAAATTTGCTACAAGGCACCAAAAATCTTATTTTTCAGAAAAAATATTTCGGTTGGTTACTAAGAGTTAAATTTCTATGTCACCAAAAAACGCTTAAATGCCCCATAAATTGCCCTTTCAAGACACTTCGGAATTTAACTGACTGTATCTCTCTTTGGAATTTTTTCTGAAAAATAAGATTTTTGGTGCCTTGTAGCAAATTTCAAGGGCTTTCAGATAAGCCTAAAATAAAAATTTAAAATAATCCATAAGGGGTCGAAAATATTTTTTAAAGAGCCTTACCCCTGATAAACGTTGATTTTCAAGGTATCGAGATCTCGAAGTTAAAATGAGATATGGGCCTAGTTCTTTTTTATTTTTTCTTAGTATCGATAAATATGTTATGTGAAATTATTGTAGATTTTTCCTATAATTAGAAACATAAAAATCCAAAGTGCGGCTATACTTTTGACCAGTAAAAATTCTGGCATTTTTTGGAAATTTTGATTTTTTTTAATTCCTTCTAATAATTTTAAAAACTTTTAATGTTATCATGTTTCTCATATAATCTAATATTTTTATGCGAAATTTGATAACAATTGGCTAACTCAGTCCGGAGTTACACCGTTTTTTCAGGTGCGGCTATACTTTTGACCAGCACTGTATTTCTTTGTATTTTTTTACTTTTTTTATTAAGTATATATTTTAATTAAAAATATAATTTTAAAATTATTTTCAATTCAAGAGTAATTATTTTTATTAATTTCTTTTTTATTAAAAAATTAACAGATATGGAAAAAGTTTTAATAAATAAAAATTTTTGAATGCATGTATCTTTGTTTGACGTTTATATTAAATTATTTGCTAAAAATATTAATTTATTTAAATATTTTATTTTTTGTTAAAACAAATTCTGATATTGAAAATGTAAAAATGAGTGAAAATAAAAAGGTAAAAAATAAATAATTAAAGGATTTTGTTGATTATTTAGGGGGGGGGGGAGGGGGTAGAGAATAATAAATAATTAAAATAAAAATATATATTTAATAAAAAAATTAGTTATCAACAACAGCTTGGTCAACAAGTTTAAGTCTCGGTTGGAGTAGTTGGTCTGAATGGAGTGAATGCCCCCCACAAATTAATGTTTGTTTAATTATTTTTAATTAAAAATATCCTTAGGGGAAATTGAAAAAAGAGAAAATAATTATTTTTTTATAAATATTTTTTTCTAGTCTGATTTCGTTTTTTATCAGTTAATAATGTTTTTTGTTTGTTTTTTTATATTCTTGTGTTTAATAATTAGATATATTTAAGCTAGTTTTTATTTAATAAAAAATTGTCTGTAAATTAAAAACTGGATATATTTAAATAAATAGATTATTTTTTGTTAACCCTTAATTTGTTAATATAAAAATAAACAAAAATATACTAAATAATTATTTTTAAATTATATTAATTCCATAAAATGTTTAATTTAATAATTAAAATATTATTTTTATTTCTCTTTATTTTAATTGTAAAATCATCTCCACAATATTATTATTATTCTTCAAGCAGCGAGGAGGATGGTTGGCGTCGACCACCTATAGGAGGTAATTAGGCGATGACTAATATAGGTTGGGATGAGGGTGGGCGGTTCTGGATTTCCAGAGATTTCCAGGAACTACCAACCCAAATTTGGAATGTTTAAATTATTAGAATAATTTTTAATAAAATTGTAACAAAAAATATTAGGAAATACTTGGTCTTCCTCAATAATAACAACTTCTTCTTCCTCTTCGTGGCCTTGGAAGGAACGAAAAATTTAAAATAAATTTTTAAATTATTTTTTTAATTGACGAAAAAGCAATTTCTTTTTAAATAAATATTTGTTTGTATGTATTGCTTAATATTGTATAAATTTTTGTGTTTTGTTTATTTTTTGTTTTTGTTTTGTAATTTAAAATTAAAATAACTTTTAATTTTTTAATTAGAAAAACTGTAATAATAACCAGCCTTTCAATATTCAATACCAACTTCGAAGATGTTTAGATAACCATTGTTCTGGCGGTTCTCCCTCAAGATATCGTTTATGTTCCTTTAATGAAAATTGTTTTTCTTCTTCTAATTCTTTACCAAAAACATGTAAAATAAGCTCAACAAATTTAACACAAGTTTTTAAAAAAATTTTTTTTCTTTAAAAATTAATTTTTTTTAAATTAGCCTTCCTTCTTTCACAATAATTTTCTTCCAAATGGCTTTCCCTGTCAATTGCCTTCTTTCACAAAAAGTGTTTGTTTTCAAGGTTATTGCCAACCTTTTGGTTGTGATAAAATTATTGGAAGTTTAACAAAAGAAGATCAATGTGGAGTTTGTGGGGGGAATGGAAGTAGTTGTTTTAATAATTTATTTAAATGGAAGGAAAGGGAAGGAGGAGAAGGAGGAGGAGGAAGATATTTTAGTAAATGTAAAGGAAAATGTGGAAATAAAGGTATTTTTATTAGGGAAAGATAAATATTTATTTATTTTAAAAAAGGTATAAGTGTCTCAGTTTCTGTTTGTGTAAATAATTTAAATCAAAGAATTGTACCTGACAGAATGTGTAGAAAACAGAAAAGGCCTAGACCTAAAATAAAAATATGTCCAACAATTATTTGTATATCAAAGTAAGTTGCTTGTTATTTAAAACGAAATTTAAAAAAATAATTTTTTTATTAAATTATTTTTGTAAAGTTTGGGTTTTTGTTTTTGTAGCAATTCTTTATAGTTTAATATTTCTCTCACAAAAATTGTTTTGAGAGAATCTATTTATTATTTTTATTTAATAATAAAAATAAGATGTTGTAGTAAGTAATAGATCAAAATACTAGATCAAAATCATTTTAAGACTCTTTTTGATTTTCAACTTTCCAACTTTTTATTATTTTTATATTTTCTTTTTTATTGTTTTTATTTTTTGTATTTTACTTCTAAATTCCCCCTAGAGGATAATCATCATCTCATCCGTTTTTAAATTTGCCAAAAAGTACTCTATACATTCTTCCTTTTTTATTTTATTTTTTTTAAGAAAAGTTTTCTAAAATAAAAATGTTTTTAATATTTAAATTATTAATAATTATTTTGATTGAAGTTAATAATTGTTTTTATTTATTTTTAAAAGAGTAAGTTTTGAAGGATTAAATTAATTTAAAATTTTAAAAGATGGCAAACAACCAATTGGAGTGATTGTTCAGTTAGTTGTGGATTAGGAGAACAAAAAAGAAATGTTTATTGTGCAGAAGTAGATGATAAAGGCCAACAACAAAAACATTTAAATGATCAACATTGTTGGCATTCGAAAAGACCGGTAATTAATTTAAAGAGAATTTACGTGATTCAAAAAAGAATCACTTCCAAACCCAGATTCGTTCATAGTGGGACGAATCCAAGCGCAGCCACATATAATAATAACCACTAAGGTTGTCGGATAGTTGGAAATCTTTGAATATCCTGATCCGGTATCTGAACCGAAAATTTCCGGATATCCGGATCCGACAACCTTAATAACCACCATTTAAAAAAATTAATTATCGGATATCTCTGAATATAAACAAATTTACGCATTTCCAAAGGAAATGCTTCCAAAAATTAGGGTAAACCCATAAGCGTCCCCCTGCACTGAAATCTTTAGTAAAAGGCGAAAGATTTCTTCGTCCGAATACAAAGGGACCAGGGATGGTTAAACACTAAAAATAATAATTTAATATTTAAAATAAATTTAAATAAATTAAATAGGGTGTATTTCTTCTCTTAAAATAAGTAATTTTTTTGCAATATTATTTTCTGCTTTCTTTCTCTTTCCTTTACTCTTTCTTTTTCTTTTTTTCTCTCCTAGAAGAGGGAGAAGAGTGATGAAAGTAGGTAGTATGGTAATTAATTATAGGCAGTCCCAAAATTGACATATTCCACTAAGAATTTCGAGATAATTATTTTTGAATATTTACTTATGTTTTTAAAAAACAATTTTGGAAAAGAAATTTAAAAATTTTAAACCCTTTTACATTAAACTTTTTACAATAAGGGTTTTAATTATTTAAGGACATTTAAAAATTTCCATTTTTTCATCATTCCAATAAATTAAAGAAAAAATTTTGCTAAAACATTTCTATCAATAAAAATAGGGTTAAACGATCCTTCCAACACTTCCCAAAGTCAAGATTTATTTCTAAAAATTTATCCTTTGCAATATGAAAAACACTTTAAAGACTTGTCTAAAAATAAATTTATACTTTTCAGGTAGAAATACGTCAATGTAATATTGGTGCTTGTCCGGAATGGGCAATTGGTGATTGGGGTCAGTGTAGTAAAGCAATTTGTGGTAGAGGTATTAGAAGTAGACCTGTTGAATGTAGAGCTGAGGGAAAGAAATTACCTGATTGGCATTGCCTTTTAAATGGAAAACAACAAAAACCGCCAAAAAGCCAGCCTTGTTGGACGGGAATTCCGTGCGGGGAAATGGAAAATGAACAAATAAATAATAGGTAGGTTGGGGAGGGGGGGGGGTTCTTGAGATTATTAAAGTGTTAAAAACCGGATGCAGAATCTACATCTATATTTTCATTTTTATATTTATTTTTTTTTCTTTTAAAAAATCAAATTTCCAAATAAAATACCAAAAAATATTTCTCCAGCTAACATATTTTCAAATGTACAAATGAGAAATATAAAAAAAGCTCTTCAAGTTTGGACAAAAATAAGAAATGGGGGGTACAATCTAAAATTAAAAAAATATCTTTTTTTGGGGGGGGGGGGTTTTGCTTTGTAAAATGATGCACTTTTAAGTAAACAAAAAAAGGTTGTAGTTTCTGGGGTTTTTGATGAATTGTATTTGGAGATTTTTGGATATTTCTTTACAAAAATATTCCCTTAAGAATTAATTTTTATTTGACCATTTCCTTTGGTCAAAAGGTTTTTCTCTACAATTTTTTACTTTTTTAAATAAAAAGAAAATTAACTAAATACACTCTCTATTTACTTTTAATTCATTAAAAAAGCTACTTTTCCAACAAAAATTTTTGTCAAAAATATACTAAAAACTACCAGAAGTTTAAATTTTAGAATTAATTCCTCCCTCTCCTCCTGGCAACAAAATAATTAAAATATGTAACTCTTTTTGACTCTCTCCCTTTCTCTCATTTTTCATTCATTTCCTCATTTTTCATCTTTTAATTCTTGGGTCTTGGTCATCTTCCCAAAAGTCTTGGGCATCTTCCTCCCCTTATTTTACTTTAAAAATTTAAAAATAAAATTTAAAAAATAATTAAATCATTTTTCTTTCAGTTATTCTTTTAATTTTTCCAAAAATTTATCCCAAAAATTCTTTAATTTAAAAATCCCAAATAAATAATACTAGCGAAGGTGCTCGCCCTTCGGGCGAGCTCCTCCGCTAGCCATTTCCTAAGTCATAACAAACTCAAGTCAAATACTTATTACCGTTCATTCCTTGAAAACTTTCTCATGTCCTTTGAATTCCCTAATGGAAAACATATAAACTATCTCATTAATCTCAAAACAAAAAACATTTAAAACACATTCTAATACTCAACTTTTTCAACTATCAAATTCCTATGAAAAACTCTTAAATTATCAAATTCATCTAAAAACAATAATAAACATTTAAAACTTTAATTTCAACAGATTTTAAAAACATTAAAAAAACGTAAAACAAAAAAACAATCAATAACACATATATATTTGGGAAGAACGTGTAAAAAAACTAACAAAACAAATGTTGAAATATTGTATGATTTGAAAATAATAGTAATATTATGTACAAATCTTACAACATTCCAGCATTCTTTTGCTAGTTTCGTAGAAAAACAATACTCAAATAATTTTTCTTTTTTTCAAATAAAATAATTATCCTCTTATATCTTTATCTTGTTTTTTTTCTACAATTCAGCTTGATCTTGAGCCGTTCTGAATGGAATCCCATGACAATCCTTGATATCATTCAAAACAATTCATGTATTGCTTCTCATTTTTAATTTTCAAACTAAAATTTTAAACTTATTTACAATAGAATTTAATTATTTTTATTTACAACTATTAACAATTAACCAGCTTTCAAATATTAACTTTCAATTATAATTCAACTATTAATTATTAACCATGATTTAACTATTAACTATGATTCAACTATTAACGATGATTCGACTATTAGCTATTAACTATGATTTAACTATTAACTATCAACCGTAATTAAACTATTAATTATTAATCATGATTCAACCATTACTAAGATTTTCAATTCTACTCATTTATTCATATAAAATAATCATCACTTTACCTTCATCTTATTTGGTTTTTCCAACATTTTCAAAACTTGATAGTTTGAATCCTTGCTTGTTGATAATTTTCAAAACTTAATAGTTGATAGTTCAGATAATCTCTTCAAGACTTGATAGCTGCGTAAAATTATATATTAGAATTTAAAAAAATCTGTATTACCTTGTGTCTTGAACTATTCATAACTTATATCAGCAAATCCAAACATTAGTACAATCGAAACATTTCCTTCACGAACACTTAAGTCATTTCTTTTTGTCAATTTACAATAACTATAATTCAACTATTAACTAAGATTTTCAACTTTTAACTATTAATATTTCAACTATTAACTCGGTTTTTAGCTATTAACTATTAATTCAATTTTCAGCTATTAACTATAATTTAACTATTAACTAAGAAAAACTTGTATTACCTTTTGTGTATCAACATGTTCATCACTTGTATCAGTAAACCGAAACATTAATTCAATCCAAATATTGCCTTCACAAACTCAAGTCTTTTCTCGGTGTTCATTTACAAAAAATGGCTCAATAGTATTTATCTTAAATTATAAAATATATAAGGTTTTTTAAATAAATCGACCTGTTAGATTGGAACAATCTCTAAATAACTCAATTCTAAGTCTAAATCTTATTCTAAATCTAATACTAATCTCTATCATCTATTACTTCTCTATACACTACATTCATAACTTTTCTCTCGTTATTAGTTTCTAATAACATAATTCTTAACGAATTCCAAGATCTAACCCTCGAGAGGGCCACATACAATTGACCGTGACTAAATACGTCTTTGGTCAAATCTATTCCTAATCTTTCTAATGTCTGCCCTTGGGCCTTATTCACTGTCATTGCAAAGGCTAACACCAATGGAAATTGGTGCCTGTGTAAATCAAATGGGTACTCTCCATCGCAACACAGAGTGATGCGTGGGATATACACCATCTGACCTGATCTATCTCCATTCAAAAGTCTACAAACTATCAAGTTTGGTCTCATTTCTTCGACTAACATTCTAGTCCCGTTACAGAGACCATTTTCTATGTTCAAATTTCTAATCAACATAACTATGGCATATTTCTTTAATCTTAACTCATGTAATGGAAACCCATTAGGGCTCAATGAGTTCAAATACTCGTCCAAATACTCATCTAATACTTGTTTTTCTTCATTCTCAGCTTTGTCTATGCTCTTGTACAACGTTTCGTTGCCAGGAAGCATATTCAAAACTCTATTATTCAAATCTCTCACGTCGACATTTTTCGGCGCAACAATAGCCATATTGGCCATCTTATTCCAATCATTATCTATAATCACATTTCCGAAGATCTCTTCAGCTAA